AGGAGAAGGAAGGAGAAGGGGGGAGAAGGAGGGAGAGGGGAGGAGAAGGGAGAAGGGAGGAGAGAGAAGGGAGAAGAGAGAAGAGAGAAGAGAGAAGGGAGAAGAGAGAAGGGAGAAGAGAGAAGGGAGAAGAGAGAAGGGAGAAGAGAGAAGGGAGAAGAGAGAAGGGAGAAGAGAGAAGGGAGAAGAGAGAAGGGAGAAGGGAGAAGAGAGAAGGGAGAAGAGAGAAGGGAGAAGAGAGAAGGGAGAAGGGGGGAGAAGGGAGAGGGAATATCTTAAGCAGGCTCCACACTCAGCACGGAGCCTGATCCCATGACCGTGGGATCATGACCTGAGCCGAAATCAAGATTCAGACTCTCAACCAACTGAGCCACCGAGGCACCCCAATGTAGTTATTTTTTAAATCACAAATCTACTGAGGAAGAACTAGTCCTGAACTGATTTGCAGCACATTAAAGGAAATTATTACATACCGGATGACAACAGCCTATTAAGTATAAAAAAGGTTAATATCTCAAAAGTCACTATTCACTTAGTTTTAAACCGAGTAGTAAATTATTACCTTGTATTTAGTTTTTTCAGTAAGAATGTTTTAAAAAAGCTTTAAAAAGTAGGGGAAGAAGGGGGCCTGGGTGGCTCAGTCGGTTGAGCATCTGATTCTTGACTTCGGCTCGGGTCGTGATCCCAAGGTTGTGGGATCAAGCCCCACGTGAGGTGCTGAGCGTGGAGACTGCTTAGGATTCTCTCTCTCCCTCCTTCTGTCCCTCCCCCCACTCATGTACCCTCACTTTCTCTCTAAAATAATAAAATGAAAAAAAATTTTTTTTAAAGTTGGGGAAGGCAGGGTCAGAAATCTAAAATCATATATAGTCCATACAAAACAGGTAAAAATAAGTGGAACCTGAACAAATTTATCTCCTTCACAAGACTGCTACATTGACTTTAAAGTGCTAATAAGAGAAACATGGCCAATCCAGCCTAAATATAAAAAGGCCTACACTAAGAACAGGAAACAAGATTTGTTTCTCTGCACTACAACTAGTGTTATGGACAAATCAAGATTATCATCTGTATTTCAGGGATGGGAACATGTTCAATAACCTACCTTCTTGACAGGAAGGCCGATGGGAAAAAAACTATCATTTCTGTATTAGTTTTAATTTCCTTGGGGGCCGGGGGAACACTCTAATTCAGTTCATCACAATTACAAGCTTTCTACCCCAAGAGTACTTCAGACTTCTGCTGGTCTTAGCTTCATCTGCATTTATGTTCACAGTGAGCTATTACTAGCAATATATAAAAATTAAGCCATTTTCAGATCTACTGATAGTTTCCTAAACATGTCCAATGCAAGAGTTACCTGGGGGTGATTACCAAAAACAGGTTTTTCAGACCCCATACCAGATCTACTTACAGAATCTTCAAGGAGAAATCTAGGATTCTGAATTTTTATCAGCACCCTGGGTAATTTTGACACCCAGGTCAAGTATCGGACATTCCTGTAGCCAGAGCAACTCATTCCAGGGGAGGACAGTAAATTAGAAATTCACAGATTAGGTCCATTAGTCACCTGCTTCCTTACTCAGCCTACTTCAGCATGAATATATTAGCATAATGCCCGCTAGCATTCCTGAAGGCCTGTGTGCTATATTCTGTACTAAGTACAAACAATAATCTTTCGGGGTGTATACTAGTTTTATTCCAGTTCCACAGACAGGGAAACAACTGTCATTTATTGGAGTTCACACAGTATGTGAGTGGCTGCTGCTTCAAAACAAGATGCTTGTTGGCAGCAAGCTGCCACCTACAACAGTATGCGATTCCAGCACCAACCAAGAGAAAAGTAAACACATGGCAAGAGTTGAAATGGAAAGTTGAGATCTTCTGTTGACCAGTGGCTTTCTTAATTTCAATTCTTTTTCTTGGTTAAAACTAAAACTAAAGAGTAAAAACTCTTTTGCATACTGGAACATCACATAATTGCTTAAGGATCCTAAACAGAGTGGGGCTGCGAACATCATCTGAGATGCTGCTACTGATTAACCCCTGAATAGTCAGTTCAGTGACTGGGTTTTTATTTTGTTGGGAGGGACAGTAGGATAACTCAGATTAACCATCAGAACATTTATCTTAAACTAAAACCACAAGAATGACATCTCATTGATGCTAACAGTTCAAATCTCAAAACTATAAAATTGGCAAACAAGCATAAATTCTGTTAACATTTTGTTGTGGCACTGTAAGTATATTCAAAATCTGCAAGATGGGTTCCCATTATGACAATTATATCAAGACTAGAGAATATTAGAAGTTTTCTTTATTACTCACATACCTGCATTGTCAGATTTAGAAAAAAGGACTTTCATGAGCCAATAAATGGCTTCATAAGAAAAGGTCATCGGGATCTGTTGAACAGTGATGACCATGTCTTATGATATACAAAAATCTACACACAATTTATGGCCCAATACATACATATGTTCTCTATATATTATATCCTAGGGAAATTAATCACACACAGGTATCAAGAGACATACAAGAAATGTTAATGGTAGCATCATTAGGAACAGCACTCTAAATGTCCAAAAAGAGAATGGGTAAGTCAACTGTGATATATTCATACAGTCAATACTAAATAGTAAAAAATGAATGAACTAAAGCCATACTTATCAATGAGAATAAAACTTAAAATGTTGAAAAAAGTTACAAATGATTACCTTCTATGTAACAGCAATTAATATTAAAACATGCTTGTTTACAGATATGTAACAAATGCAGTAAAAATATAAATACATATACAGGAATACCAATATCAAATACCAAATTCAAGACAGCTTTGGAGTGGAGAGGGAAAAGGAAGGGGAACAGAGTTGAAGCCATGGGTGTTCCCCCTCACATATTTTTGTCACATTTCATTTCTTAAGAATGGTGGTAAATACCTGAGTGATATACTCTTAAAATTTTGTATAACTGAGGGGTACCTGGGTGGCTCAGTTAGTTAAGAGGTTAAGTGGTTAAGCTTAAGCGTCCAACTCTTGATTTCGGCGCAGGTCATGATCTCACGGTTTATGAGTTCGACCCCCATACTGAGCTCCATGCTGACAGTGCTCACACACTCTCACTCTCTCTCTCTCTCTCTCTCTCTCTCTCTCTCTCTCTCTCTCTGCCTCTCCCCTGCTCACACACTCAGGCTCTCTCTCTCTCTCTCTCAAAATAAACTTAAAAAACATTTTTTTGTGTTACTGAAATTCAAAAACACAACCAAAAATAGAATTAAGTACACAAAGGCTAGTGATGTTTTAAACAACCAAGCTAACAATTACTTGAATCTTAAAATGTGATGCTATCCCCAAATGCTGGTAACTTTAAGGATACTTTAAGACCCCACAACCTGCATTATTAGGTTGAAATATCTGAAACTGCTGGGTTATAGGTCAAAAAGTCAAATATTAACAATTCCATGTGGTTTAAACTAATATTAAAACTCTATAAAAGACAAAAGTTAAATTTTGATGTGTTCTCCAAGAATTTACTATGCAGTGGTCTACATTTTAATGGAAGGACTAAGAAACAAGGAAATAAAACTGAAATAGAATGGACCATTTGTCAATGGATAAAATATGAAGATAAATTTCCCAGTATACAGAACAAATATGTAACTTAGAAACACATATTGCACAAAATGTGGTCAACCTACTGTCCTTTGATATAAAATATTACTGCTTAATTTTTAAAAGTACTTACACATAATAAATCCTTAAAAGATCCTTGTTGAGCAAAGCAAGTCTTTATACATATAAAAATTAAAGTCCAGAGGAGAAACACCTTGTCCAAGGTCAAGGTCAAATAGTTAGCAGTCTAAACCTACTTAAAACTAAATCTAGGTCCTGCTCCAAAATTAGTCACTATAAATCAGAAGTTCAACCAGAGATTTTTATTTTGTTCCAATCAAAGATTATGAAAGGAAGAATTAAGGACAAATGATCTGTGGAGTTCTGTCTTCTTTTTTATTTCTTAACAATTTCAGTATAACAAGTTCTAAGCCCATTATTATTTTTGCAAAACTCATTTGCCATAAACATATTTTAGTGATTTACAGGATTAGCTCATAAAAGCCAAGGCTATTTATAATTTAACTATAGTTAATAGTAGTGCTAACTTCTGTAGCACTACTATAGAAGTGCTAACTTCTGTAGCACTAAAGAAAATACACACTACAAAAGTAGTCTCTCCATCCCCTCACCCTCTTTTCTCAAACTTAAGAACTAGTGCTTTAAGAAAAAGGCTTAAATGAGAAAGAATGCTGAAAAAGTACTGAGGAACACACTGCAGGACAGCTGGAGTTGGAGGGAAGGTTTTTAAAAGTAATGCAATGGTTTTTTTTAGTGAATAAATATCACTCTTCAGAATTATTATAGAGCCCAGATAAATTATGCAAGACAGGGATAGAGATTTTCCTGAGATACGAGAAGCAGAAACTGAAAGAAAAGGGTTGGAAAAGACAAACATGAGAACTACTGGAGAGGAATGGACAGGGACAGGGACACTGGCACCCCTAGAAGCAGAAGAAACAGTGCAGCCCTTCTTAGGAACAGCCCCAGGGGGCAGGTGTAATCAGCTCCCTCCCCATACTGCAAGGTTGCTATACAGATTAAGTGAGGGAAACCCCTGGAGAAGGGGAGGGTGGGGGAGTATTAAGGTCATCTGAGTAGTTAACGTATGTTAAGCATTTTTAACCCAAGAAATAGGTATACTGAAATCTACCTGTGCCTACAATTAATTCTCATTTTTGCTTCCTTCATATTAGGAAAGATGAATGACAGACACGCTACCCACATCTCCTCTTCAGTTGTAAAGGGCACCCTGGATAGTCACAATCATCGAAAGCCAGATGTCTCTAGTTGGCCTGCTCTCCTCGGCAAGGTCCACTACAAGGAAAACAGCTGCCAGGACACATGCACAGTACACCGTTAGAGAAGGGGGAGGGGAGGGAGACCAACCTGCCTCCGCATTCAGCTCCTCTAGAAGCCCGCTGGTCCTCCAGGTAGCTCCTGTGTCCTGGCCTCCTACAGAATTACTGTGCTCTTGAACTACCGCAGCCGCCAATAAATTGTCCACATTTACCACTTCTGGGTCAGAGCTGGTGTCAGACATATCATAATGAGCTACAACTGGAGGTCCATCTAGGGAGGAAAGAAAATGTATACTTGTATCTAACTTGTGGGGTGAAAAATACTTCTGCAACTAAGAGCCCTCTAAATGCCAGTTGCCTTTATCTTATTACTCTACCTGGTCAGAAAAGCTACACTTTATACATCTAATATTTTGTACATGATGTGAAAGTGGAAAAGATAACCCAAGCTTATAAGATGAGGGACACATTTGAAAAGGAGAAAAGGAGTGTTATTATGAAGAACAGAAGACAAGACTGTACTGAACAAAGTTACACTGAATTCTCGTCACATTCCTATAGAGCAAAAGACTATGAAAAAGGAGAAGACTCCACAGAGAAAGTAAAACTGATTTTTTAAGGAAAAAAACTGATGCAAACTATTAAAAGTCAATTTATAGTTTTTCAGAGAATGAATCTAGTTCTTTCTCTTAGTAGCTAATACTTAAAAAGTCACTGTTAGATTCAAAGAAGAAAGTCAAATACATATTTTTCTATTCTAAAGAAATAAGGTTAACATTAGGAGCTCTACTTGACTATATCCAATAAAGCCCTTTAAAAATACCAGGGATCAGGGCACCTGGGTGGCTCAGTCCGTTAAGCACCCGACTCTTGGTTTCGACTCAGGTCATAATCTCACGGTTCATGGGATCTCAGGGGATCGAGCCCCACATCGGGCTCCACGCTGAGCAGGAGCCTGCTTGGGATTCTCTCGCCCTCTCTCTCTGCCCCTCTCCCACTTGTGCTCGCCCTCTCTCTCTCTCTCTCAAAATAAACTTTAAAAAATAAAAATATCAGGGGTGTTATGCATTTTATAACAAAAAGACAATACTCTTTTCTACAAAAAGAAACACTTTTTCTACAAAAAGAAATACTTTTTCTACAAAAAGACAATACTCACAAAATCCACCTTCAGGATTTTGCTTGGGATGTTTTGTTAGGAATATCTAAATTTTCTTTTCCCTGAGAAAGACAACCAGCTCACATTCCAAGGCAACGATACGCAACCTTATGGGTTATTTTAGAGGAAGATATTAAAGTTCTAACTGGAAAAAAAAAAAAAAAAAAAAAAAAAAGATCCCTTCTACCTCCAAATCACCCTAACTAGCCGAAAAAGGCAGCTGATTTCCAAAGAAATTAAACCGCAGTGATTCATGCTAAAATAACTCAATAATCATGCTTGTAGAATAGATACATGCTTTAAATGCTAATGCTACCCTTTTTCTAATAGCAAAAAACAAAAATAGAGTTTTCATTCAATTATGAAATACATCCCTTACTACCATCTTCATTTTAGAATAAAGCAGAAATAAAGGAATGCAGTTTCTCCCCCCAACAGCTATTTATAAAGTGCAGGCAAATTATTTATTTCCATAAAGATTTTTTTAATATCAAGACTGTTTTACATTCAACACACCTATTTTATGAAACTCTGGACTATGAAGGAATACATATGCCAATGACTCATTAAAATAGAACACAATGAAAGATTAGTTTTAATACAAGCATCCATTGTGTGAATTGTGACTGAACAAAACATGAAACACATCTGGGATATTTATCCCTTAAAGCAAAGGTCCCAAACCAAAAGTTTATGTAGCAACATTTTTAAAATAAAAATGACCAAATAAAAGCAAACGAGTTGTTAAGTGCCACTGTATAAGAACAGACATGTCACAATATGAAATTCTGACGATCATTACAATTTCAGTTGACTACTTAAAGATAATTTCCAATTCCCCCAAAAGGGTAAATCAAGTTCAGAAAATTCGATAGTGTAGCCTCAGTATCAGTTGGTAATGGATTTTAGCTCAAATAGAAAAAAATTAGTTCATGTTTGACGTTTTTCTTTTCTAAAAAAGAAAAGAAAGCTCTATTATTTATGGAGTTCTCGTCAGAGTTCAAAATGATTATTATGGAATCAAGATACTGTGTGATGTCCAAATACTTGGGTGCAGAAGATATGAGGGTCAAGTACAATATTGACTATTTGACCAAATGTTCTATTTTTAAAAGGGCTTAAGTGTTGTTTTGCAAAAAATTAAAGATTTATTTTAAAATTTACACCACTAGTACCATTCACCACCTCTTGCTCTCACATCCCTCCCCCCTACAACCACCAAATTGAGGCATCAGGTCAACAGTCAAGTCAAAATTGTACCACTCCTACATGTAGAATCATGCAAAGAGTAGAGTTGTATATGTACATGCAGAGTTAACATCACCTACCCATGGAAATAACTTGTCTGAAAGTCTTCATCAGTAGGAAATACAAGCATAAACTTGTTATCTGGCTTCATTCTTGTATCTTCCATATTTCCAAACAGCACACCTTATAGCTTAGCTTAAATTTAGTATTCATCATAAACAAAGACAGTGATATTTTCATATTTTAATTATACTTAAAAGTTAAATTATTATCAGTGTCATTTCTCATTTCCAGTCTATCCAAAACAATGACAAGTCAATACTATACAAACTTTAATAAAGGAATGGATGCCTTTCCATCTTTCTTCCAACTTGAAACCAAAATTAATGATCTTATGTTCCAAGGTTATGTTACACTTATCATTAGCAAACCAAGATGAAATAAAGTAGGTTTAAAGCACTCAGCATTAGGGTTTGAACTTTAAACCACTAAGTAAATACGAGCTACCTGATGGTGATAATTTGTGATATTCTTTTAAAAGTGATTCTTGCTGCACAGCAAAATTAAGAGACAGGTAAGATCCTGTAGTAATTGTATCTGTCTTTTAAAAGAAAGAAAGGGAAAAAAAGCTATGGAGGAGGAGCTGGGAAAATTCAGCACATTAATGAGAGAAGCAGCAACTATTCTTCCAATTTGACTCTAACAATTCATTACAGGATGGAATAAACATGGAGATACTGTCCTCTCTCCCACTTGATTCTTCTCTATACTGTGAGAACAAATGCACTGCTACTAAGATTACTTTGGCTTTCAAAAGCATCAAAATCGTCACTTCAAGTAAAGTTATACATGGAAACATTTCCAATTTAAAAATTAATCATTAATGTAAGCACATTCCATGTTACATTTAAGGATTAGCCAAACTACACATTCTCCCATCTGCTAAACTTGATGTCTGTCACAATCTTAAAACATAAATTTATAATGACTTTCTAGTTTTTCTACAATCCTTAATAGCATATCTCTATAAAGGTAAATGTTAACACAATTAGTTAATAACTAATTGGCCTGTGGTCAATCAAAGTGCTGTCTCTCCTCCTGATTGCAAGATTTTGAAAATTTTGCTGCTCATTACAATTACAAGGCAAAAAATTAAAAGTCAAGCAATCCACTGACTTGTGAACATCGATTCATCCATTTTATGCTAGAAATAGGTTTGTACCCTCTCAATTACATCCTAGCCTACACACAGGTTCTAACTTTTCAAATAATAAAATACAGATGTATCTGTGTCCTCACACATTTCTGACACAGTGAAGTTTACTCTTTTATGGTTAACCTTCTCTACTACTGTCATCAAGTGTTTAAATTTATGAATTAGTTTTCTTTCAACCTATTATTTTCTTCTTTAAAAAAATGTTCTTTAAATCTCACTGAGAGAATGTGAAACAAAACAAAAAAGCAAAACAAAACCAACATCCTTTACTGCATTTATCCCTGACAAATCCTTTAGAATTTCACTACCAAAAGCACAAAATTTTTAAAAATGATGTAAGGTAATACATAATTTACCATTCTTGTTTTACAGATGAGAGATCTGAGTCCTAATTAGGTGGAACCAGAAATGAATTACATTACAGTTGTTCAGTGTTGAGAGAACTGGAAATATACAAGACGGAACAGCATAGGAAGTACGTACAGATTTTTGGCAGCCAACATACAGGTTGAAGTCCTGCCTACTACTACTTAGCTCTAGGACTCATTTCTTCACAGAGTTATGGCAAGAGCTAAAGATGACATACCAGCAGAATACTGGACCACTGCCCCATCTTTCCACTATAATTAGCACCTGCCCTATTTTGTTTGCTTATCTTTACATGTAAATTCTACTCTACAGAGCCTGCATGCAAGAAGCTTTGAGAAAAGGGGCACCTGGGTGGCTTAGTCAGTCGTGTCTGAATCTTGATTTTAGCTCCGGTCATGATCTCATGGTTCATGAGATCGAGCCCCACACTGGGCTCTGTGCTGACAGGGCGAAGCCTGCTTGGGATTCTCTCTCTCTGCCCCTCCCCCTTCTATCAAAATAAACAAACTTTATTTAAAAAAAAAAAAAAAAAAAAAAAAAAAAGCAGGAGCAGCTATGAGAAAACATCCCTGCCTGGGTTGGTGCCTCACACTGGTCATAGATTAACCCCACTTATTAAGCAAATGCTTTCTTGGGATTACTGAGATCTTCACAAATGGGCTTTTGTACGTTTCTTTTTGTCTGAAGTGTAATGTCAGCTTGGGTGTGTTCATATAAAAGTGTTTCGTACCCAAACAGAGATCATTTTTGGATTATTTCATATTTTGCACCATCCTAGCCTACAGAGCTTCCCACTAACACAAGTGTCAGTCTCCCAGTATGAGGTCTAATTAGATCTGAGAGATGGGAATTCCTCTAGTATCTCAGACACCCTAGAAACGCACTCCTCCTTGTCTCTCTATTGTTAAGTCTTGGGCCCAAGGAAAGGTGGGGCAATGGCCCAAGACACACTTTGCCCCTTCAACTCCCATTTCTATAACTATAGTAATATACAACAAAGCTCAGAGAAAATTCCTTCTGTCCTCCCCAGTATAGCCAATCTCCTGAAACCCCTCACTAGGAGAGAAAAAAATCTATCTTGTTACTGCGAAACGATCCCATATAAGCTCTACTGCCACAGTCATTAAAGGGCCTATGCCCAGGGCCATTATCTATCTACAACATCATGAGAAAGGTGGAAATCACATTTGGCCTCAATCCAGATAGTCAGATTCAAAAAAGCTACGCCTGAAAGAAGCATTCTTAGCAATTACCTAGCCAAAGGGTCTAAGAAGGGAGA